CCCGATTGGCTAGTTGAGAAATGTGGAAAATAAGTATTTTTTTCACCTGCCCCCCAAAGGGGCGGTATTATCACAGAAAAAAATGTGAGTTTTTGAGGGGACTCATACCTTGGGTTTGGGAAACTTAAGGTAATTTTTAGGAAAATTTAAAAATACGGTTTTTTTCCCGGGTAAAAGCAGTGATCATACCTATAATATTTTTAAATAGGGACCATGGAATTAGGTGTATATTCAGGGTTTTTCCTTTCCCTTGAAGTACCTTTCCCCTTTTTTTTTCCCCGATTTAAACATTTAATAATTGCTAGGCTATAATTAAAATCCCTTTCTTCCCATTTATCCCCCCCCCAAAACTCCCAAATTAGTGATATATATTTTTCCCCTTGCTGAATATTTAGTTTTGGGGTTTAAAATCTATAACAAATTTATTTATTAAAATGTTTTTGTGTATATTTTTTGTAATTATATTCAGTGGGAAATTTTAAAACCTTTAAAAATGGGGGGGGCCTGAAATTTCACCTCTTTGTTTTAAGAAAACAACTTTTTTTTCTGTGTAGGAAAAAAAAAACTCTCTGTTTGCCGGGCCCTTGTTTTGGGGACTCTTTGGTTTAAAAAAAACCTGTTAATGTTTTCCCTTCCCCCTTGGTGAACAATATTAAAATTTTAATTTTTTTCAGAGGTTTTGTTAGTTCATCACATTTCAAAAAAAGGTTTTTTTTTGGTTGGGGCCTTTCTTACCCCCCAACCGTTTGGTTTCCCCCCGTCTATTATTTTTAAAATGTTTAAAAAAAGGTTCAAAAAACCCCTCTTTTGGCTATTTTTTTGGGATTTTCTGATTTTGCATTTTTTTTTCCCCAAACCTTAAATTATACAAATGGGCCTTGTTGAAAATTAAAAAGGGTTCTTATTGCCCTTGGGAAAAAAGTTTTTTTAATTTTTCCCCCCATTTCCCCCCCTGCAGTACCCCTGTCCCACAACTAGATGTCTCCCCCCTCTCAGCACCAAAGACGCCGCCGGCTTCTTCATCCCCAGCGTGTACCTCTATATAACTCCTGTGTGTCCGGCGGAGCGGCGCGTCCGGTGGAGCTGTCGGTCCAAAATTAATATAAAAAAAAACCCGTGTGATTTTAAGTATGGAGAATGTCTGGCGGTAGAAGGCGGGTAGCCGGTGGGGTTCCGGGTCCCCCGCTCCTCCCCGGTGTGCTCAATAATGGAGGGATGGCGGTATAAGGCGGGTGGAGGTGTGGGGTGTCTGGACTCCCATCCTCACCCGGTTGTGCTCCAGTATGGAGGGTGGAGGTGAGCGCTCCGTGACGTATGGTACATCCAGTTGCGGAAGTTGGCGAAGGTCTCCCTGGTGCAGAGCGCGACTTCCGGGAGACAACTGTGGTTAGACCAATGGATTCGTTACGCGGCCCCTCCGAGCCCCACCAGCCGAGGCCACACCGACCAACCAGAAAGCGGACAGTGCGGGTGGTGGGAGCACGAGCGCGCAACAGCACTGCAAAAGATCTTCACACCTGAGAGGGGGGCCCGGAGTACAAGATGCCCGCCTCAGTCTGGAGAGATCATTTGCACGCTGCCGCTGGATCATTAGTACCTCTTATCTCACCAATCACCACTTTTTATTTGACTGATCGCGGGGCATTCTTTCAGCCGTTCTCCGCACTGGCACCAGGCACCTATTATTGATAACTCACTAGACGAGTTTACGGGCAGGGAAGGATTCACACATTGGTCAGGGTAAGGATTACTCATAAAGGGATCTTGACCTAATGGATGATATGATAGCTCATGTATGTGTAGGGACATGCATCAGGGGGGACAGTACCAACCTGTTGACATGTATGGAGGGGGGGGCATCATAATCAATATAATTATTATTATTTATTTATAACACTTTTGCACTTTTCGATTGCACCTTTTTGATGATATTAGAGTGCGGTAATTATTTAAATATTTTGTGGATGGGAATGTAGGGTGGTGTACTAATGGGGGATTGTTATGCCTATCCCGGAGTTCTTCTTTAAGTCGGCCCTTTTAAAATGTCAAGGACTGCACTTGAGGCTCTCATCGTATTAACCATGTTGACCACCACCGGAATAAATGGGTCCGCATGGAGTAACTACTTCAAGTGTTTGTTCACCTTCTCATTCTGTTCATTCTTTCTGGAAAGGTGAAGCAACCCTTTAAGGAGCCTGTAGCAGCAATCAGTCTGGTAGGATTGCACATTGCTCCATCCATGTGTGCTATGATCCATTGCTTTGGAATACCGATCTATTGGTGGAGCTCACCACCAAGCAAACCATCGTAAACGAGATGGTGAATGCATCTGGCCGTACACCAGGATGTTCGTTGGAAAATGTTCTTTTTGGGTGTTGATTTGAATTTCCAAAGGGTAGTGGGTTCAAATCGATGTTTGTTTTCAAATGTAGTGATGAGAAAATTCGAAGGATCAGGATGGAAGATTGCTTTAAATAAATGACCTTCTAACAGAGAATGCGGATTTTGTTCAGGAAATTACATTTCATTCCAAAACTGAGTGTTAAAAGGAAGAGAAATTTTGAAGTCGGATGTTCGCACGGTCAACACATGTACAAAGGATTTGCAGATGAACGTTTGACAATCTACTAGTGTATAGCCAGCTTTACTGCTCTCCAGCCAACCAGGTTGGATGGGTTGACTGCCTTCTTCCTCATCTCAAACAATGGTTCTTCCCACCACGCTGGCTATGATGTGGCTGCAGGATGCCTGGACCACCATTTCCAAAATATATATAAAAACAATGCCTTCAGTTATGACTGCGATCTCTTCTACAGGAGGAGGGATGCCCCCCCCCTCCCCCCCACCACCAATTCCTTTCCTGGGCTCTCTCATTCCATGGGGATCCTGGGACCGCTCCAAACCGGCAGCAGCACCGACTTCAATACACACAGAGAAAGGAGCTGATGTAGTTCCCCCTCTCTGTGGGATCACAAAATGGAAGCAACAAGGATTTTGTCACTTTTGGTTCTGGTTCTGTGTTTACTGGGCAGTTGGCGACCAGCTACTGTGCTGACCCATATGTGTCTGATCAGCTGCATTGGAGGCCAGAGGAGAGATCTGGGGTCTGATAGAGCCAGATGTCTCCATAAAGAGGACCTGTCATAGCCCATGCTGTCACAAGGGATGTTGTACATCCCTTGTGATAGCAATAAAGTTGATTTATAAAAAAAAAAAAGGGACAGTTAAAAAAAAAAAAAAAGTTTAAAATAAAATTAAAAAATTTTTTAAAGTGCCCCCCCCCCCCCCCCCCCCCGTGCTCATGTGCAAATACATACACATACGTAAGTCAGCACACATATGTAAATGGTGATCACACCATACATGTGAGGTATCGCCACGAACGTCAGAACAAGAACAATAATTCCAGCACCAGACCTCCTGCATCACTCTAAACTAGTAACCTGTAGAGGCTTTTAAAGTGTCACCTGTGGAGATTTGTAGGTCCCGTAGTTTGTAGATGTTCCACGAGTGTACTGCACAGTCTATTCCAAATCAAAACAGAAAGAAAAATGTTTCAAATTTGTTATTACTTTACAAAAAGTGAAGAAAAAGGAATATTTGGCTGTTCAAAAAAAAAAAAAAAACATGACCTCTTCAAGTATTTGGATGTGTTCAATCTGATCCATGATCCCTGGTATGCGATAAATAGGCCCAACACCGTAGTATGAGAAACATCCCCATATCATGATGCTTGCACCACCATGCTTCACGGTCTTCACAGTGTTGTGGCTTGAATTCAGTGTTTGGGGGTCGTCTGACAAACTGTCTGCAGCAGATCCAAAAAGAACAATCTTACTTTCATCAGTCTACAAAATGTTGCCCCATTTCTCTTTTGCCAGTCAATGTGCTCTTTGGTAAATTGTAACCTCTTCAGCACATGTCTTTTTTCCCAACAGTGGGACTTTGCGGGGGACTTCTTGCAGATAGCTTGGCTTCACATAGGCGTCTTCTAATTGTAACAGTCCTCACAGGGAACGTCACACCTTCTTTCATCACCCGGAGCTGATCATTGGCTGTGTCTTTGCCATTTTGGCTATTATTCGATCCATTCAAATGGCAGTTTTCTGTTTACTTTCACGTTTTGGTTTCCATTTTACAGCATTTGAGATCATTTTAGCTGAGCAGCCTATCAGTTTCTGCACTTCTTTATATATTTTCTCCTCTCCAATGAACTTTTTAATCAAAGTACGCTGTTTTTCTACACTTTGTCTGGAATGAGCCGTTCCTCAGATTTGTAGAGATATATTATATATAGAGGTATATTCCTTTCAGCAACACTGGCTATATCCATATGAACGTCCAACCTCCAGGAGCCACAATATACCGGGCAGAAAACAAACCTTCCTCACAAAATTCACTATTCAGTGTCTCTCCAAAGAAAAGCCAAAGGGATCTGCAATAATGTTCTGCCATAAAAAATGTTCTTTATTAAAACCCGACCGGTACTTACATAATAGGAAGAAACAAGAGCGACAATCATACAAAACGCACTCATATCTACATCTCATTGGTTGGTTTGTATTCCCACAGATGGGGGGCCCAGTTTTTATTTCTGGGGCCTGTTTGTTGCCACCTTAGGCAGACTGTAATGGTTATTATATGTGATTTATTTTTTGTTATTATATACAGTACATGTTGTTCCTTAAAGCAGTTAGGGTGGATCCTGTCATCTCTAGGTGCATGGAGTACACTCACAGTCCTAGAAAGCTGGACTCTAAATACAGATATGAGAAATGTTTTCCTGTCAGAAGATTTTTATATCTGTTCATCCATTGCTGGGATTTACACAGCTCTGCCAGACAGCACAGCCAAGCAGACAAGACTACTTACAGTTAGGAAATACAGTGGTGTCCTCTGTTCACCCCCAACCGTCTGATTGGATGGTGAAACAACAGCAGCAGACTGATTAGGTCATCTCTTTGCTCTCTTCTCCTATCAGTATGTTCTATGTTGGTACATGTGCATGCAGCACACCTGATTGGCTCTCGGTTCTGCCCCTTCTTCTTCCAGTGCTGTAAAGCGGCCGGTCCGGTATTTCTGCCGCCACCATGTCAGAATACCGGGCCGGCCGCTTAGCTCTTCTCTCCTGCAGGTCCTTACCTATTCCTCGCTCCAGCGCTGCAGTCTTCCCGCGGCGGCTTCTGTGACACATGACAGGTCCCAGAAGGGCTGCGGGCCATTCACAAAGTGCAGTCTCAGTCTTGCTGGTCATCCCCTGTACTGTGTCCGCAGTCTCTGGTCATCCCCTGTACTGTGTCCGCAGTCTCTGGTCATCCCCTGTACTGTGTCCGCAGTCTCTGGTCAATCCCCTGTACTGTGTCTGCAGTCCATTGGTTCAGAATATTTTTTTTCTTGTTTGTTCTCTCTAAAACCTAGGTAAGCGTCTTATGGAGTGAAAAATACGGTATGTTGGCAGCAGAGATTGGACGTATTCTGTGCCTCCACGTATACACATTACCTGTTTTTGTGTTGGCAGCATGCCCCCAGCACTCTGTCAGTTACCGTACACTGACAATTGGAAGCTGGTTAGGATGGGCTTCCAATTATCTAATCATCCAATCACAGTGATCACATGGTGCGGAAGCTGAGCAAGCAGGTAAGGATGCTCCGGTGTTGCGATTCTTAAAAGGCTGGTGCAAGAAGGGGTTAATGAATACAGAGTTGCATTCATTTGTTGTCTGTTATATCTGTCTGGAGATTAGTCCAAAGATGTACAGTTTTTATTCAACCTGTGTGTGGCAAAATATCCTAAAAATCCAGAGCTATGAATCAGGGGGATTCTAAGAAGATCCTGGGATTTCCCGCTGTAAACGCATGTGTTCTGTATTGCAGACATCTAGAAAACTGCATTCACCTGATGCAAAGGGGGCCCATACTGCGGTGTATGCGAGCAAAAGATCCTGCGGCGGCCCAGACCTGGTTCAACGCAATTCACAGGGGCGTGTGGTGACGGAGCACTTCTTCCCAAGGTGATGGCCGAAGTCCAAAACTCAGCTGGGAAAAAACCGGAAGTCTCTCTGGAAGTCATGAAATTCGGCACATGGGCTGGCTAGCAAAACCCAGAAAAGGTCAGTTTGTTGTGTCTTTGGCTTTATATTGTTTATCTCACGAGCTAACTGACCACAAAAATGTCTCATCTGAAGTCCTCTTTAACCCTTTTCTGCCTACTCCGGTGTCCTTGTACAAAGTTCTGAGGTGCCTGGGGGGGCTGGGAAGATTTCCGATCATGTGACTACTGTGTTTGCTGTCATAGTGGTCACATGATCAGGAGTCGTTCCATGGCTATGGATTATTAGTGAGGGCCCGAGAGCTGTCTGTGACAGCCCAGTGTCTGTGCTGGGAGCTTGCAGTGAGCTTGTTCTCAGCACGAAACATTGGCTGCCCAACAACGCACATGTGGGGTGTTTAAAGCCTGCCCTTGTGGCTGCAAATATGTGTTATTTGGGTGACAACAGGAATTAAAGTGGAACTTAACCCCCCCAGGTTAATTTTACTCTAAACCCCCTCCTCCTTGTGTGCTGGGGGGAACTTAAATAATACCCCACTGCCCTCAAACTGCCCATTGCCCTTGCCATCTGCTTGAAAGCGGAACCCCACTCGGGCTTGTGCCTCGCATCATGGTGGAGCCCAGCTTTCTCTTCAGGTTTCTTTGCCAGACTCTCCCCGTGTTTGACACTCATATTGCGCACTGCATACAGCGTCATTGTAATCGCCGCAATGCCACCTTGAGCCAGCGTTTCTCTTCCAGGTCCTCAGCCAGGTAGCTAGGGTGACACTCAGGTGTGCACATGCATCAGCGTATTGTAACATTCGTGCCCCTAAGCCAGGCCTGCAGAACATGATGTTGGTATTCCTAACGAAGAAAGAAGTGGGGTGGGGAGGATGGTCATTATTACCTGGAAGCGATGAAGGCAGAAGCACTAATGTGTTCAGGTGTGAAAGAAGTGACGACTTAGAAGTGAACAGGAGTTTGGATGCGTAAATTATTTGGAAACACATTACGCATGATGTGTGATGTGACCACCTGAGCTAACAAGGAAATTGCTCAGTAATCCGTCATTTAAGCGTGCGCCAAGCTAGTAATAATGGCGTCATTGGAGCCAGAGCTTATGAGTCTTCTGTGTGATGATTGGTTCCATGCGGTTGCTAGCTCAGGTGGAAAGCCTCTGTGATGAAGTGCGGCAGCTACGTAATTTATTGGCCATGTAGAGGTACAATATCAATGGTTCTGGCGGTGATATAAGGTTCATGGCAGCGACTTACTGGGAAATCGGGAACGAACGTTGTCTGGGCCAGCTTATCTTGGTTCTGCTGTGACTGAAGTGCTGTCAATTTATTGCAGTACTTTCGTCACGATGGTATCAATATCGACTGCCAGGTGAGACTATGTACAGCAATTTTGGGCCGAAAATGTGCTGTCCATGACAGCAAGACATTGTTTCTGCAGGACGCGCCATTTTCAAGCTTGACCAATGCTCCGTCATTACACTGCCAGTGCGCGTGTAGTCAAATCACGGTTTGGGAGCTTCCGACTAGGATGCAATGGTCTCCACCCTTCCCTGACCGCGCCATTTACCAGCTGACAATCGCCGGATTCCATACATAGAGCCATTATGGTCAACGGGAATTTGGGCGCGTTTTGCGAAGCGATAGCAGTTTTGGACAAAATGTCTGCTCACACCTTCATCTGGAACACCGGATCCATTTTGTATGAAGAGTACTAGTATCAGATTCCATTATCCAGCCTCTGGACCAAGGTGCACTCTGTTTCCGAAGAGCCGCGCACATTATGCTGATTTTGAAATCGAGATTAAGTGGACGATTTTTGTAGCTTCCCCAAATCCAGTTCAGACCATTATTCCACCACACAAGACTGTATTTTGACACCTTCCCTGCGCCACAGAGGCAGATCCGTACACTCTAGATGCTAAAGGCAGTCCAATGAACTATAGGAGTCTATGATTTTGTTCTTTTACCTAGTGTTTCCATAATTTTGTCCATCCATCCTGTAACGGGAATTCCTCCTGAAGGTTCGTGTTTTAAAATCTTAGTAGTTTGACTTCATCGTGTTCTTGCTCTATCTGTTTAAATGTGTGATTGTCTGCTTGTTATTTGGGTCCATCTTTAAACTATGATCTGTTACTTAGGCGGAGACCTTTTTTCTGCCACCTACTGGAATTTGTCATTTCTGTGCAATGTATGCGATTAAAGAGGGACTTCCGTATGCAGCTTTCATTGAATGTTGCCACTAACAGCAAGCACTGAACACCCTCAAATATGCACAGTCTCCTGGGAAGTGTAATTAGTCGGTTTGTTTGAATTTGGGGTTTTACTGTTTACACTTAGGAATCGGGGGGGAGGCTGAGGATAGGGCCACTGTAGCTGACAAGCCCTTTGCCAGTCACACATCACCTCCGTGAACAGGGGATTGTGGCAGCTATGCTGTGTCTGAGATCAATGTTAGTGACGCCCACTAATTGGGCATTCGTCGGGTGAGGAGCAGAAGAAGCTGGAAATTAAGGAACCAAAAAAAGAGATTTTACTTCACATTTCAATACTGTTTCATTGGAGAAGTGAATACAGGCATTTAGACATGCAAGGATGGATCTGTATTGTATTTTTTTAATTCCTTCAGGGAGTTAATTTTTTAAGGCACTCCCCAACACTGGAAACACTTTTTAGTCGGTTATTGATGTGTACCGGAGATTATACTATCTCTACAGGTCACTGACCTTACATTTTCCAAAATACAATATTTTTCTAAAGCGGGCCTTAAACGTCTTACAGGGGCCATGCACGGTGCTTACAAGAAGGTGTCCGTTGCCGATATTGGGAGCACGTGTAAAGGTAAAGGTACTCTGGGCTTCTGATTTGGGTCACGCGTGTACATCGTTCTCTGGGGGTAGGTACAGTAGTAAGTGTAGATGGTGAGACGACTTGTTCAGCTGAGCCAATGCAGATTTAATGAGCATCAACACTTGTTAGCGTTGGCGGTTGGATTGGCTGGATGTCCGCTAAAGACAGATGGATCCCAGTGAATGCTTCCTGTTAATATGGAATGTTATGAGGATCAGGTCTAGGTGTGGATAGACATCGTCTTATTGTATTTACATTTGTACAGTTATTTATGTTGCTATTTTATGAACACGTAATTTCCAATGGTTTTCTTTGCCAATTTATAACAGTCCACTGAGCGATTTCTCTTGCCTCCTTTTTTGGTTATGTTTTCCCACAGGAACAGTTGAAGCGTATCTAAAACCTGTGAGACAATATATCATCATATTCCTTCTATCAGTTTTCCAGTCGATACTTTAGATTTGGTGGCTGCCATTGTTGTTTATGTTTATTAGGATTATCTCTAGTTTGTATGTTAAGGCTGGTAATCATGTTCACTTCTCTGCTGTCCTGAGGGGTGACCCATCACTCAATTGAATTACTTTATATTATTGTACTATTGTTTAGGGGTAGTTTCAGCATCCAGGGGTTCTAGCGCTCACCTAGACAGTGATGATGTCTCACACCTGAAATTGTGTGTTTTAGTGTGTCTTGGCCCAACTTTGTATCAAAGAAAAAATTATGTACCACACAATGTTTGTTTTGCCAGACATCAATCACAAAACAACCTAATCCAGCCTCCTGGCTTGCAATTGCAACACAATTTGTTCTTCAGCCTCTGGCTTTGTACAGCTGTTCTGCTCAGGCACTTCCCACTTATAGAACCGCTCGTCAGTTCCCCCATAGAACCACTTCCTCTCACCAACCACTGTCCACACTAGGTGGCAGACCCTTGACCTGCCCTGATCCTCTGGCTCTGGACTCTTGTCCTTTCCAATGTAAATATGCCATCTCCCCTTCCCTTGGGATTTTTTCACCCTTTGAACATACCTGGATTCTCGGGTAAGGGATAAGAGCCCAGAACCTCATGGTCCCTGTCTTACTACAAAAAGCCCAGTAACCTACCTGCCATAATTCTGTGTTCTGGCCTTTTCCTAAAATCTGAGTTCAGGGATTACAGATCTCTTCCCACCAAGATTCACTTTGAATTGCCACGGCTCCATGTGTCCCAAAATGGGGACACTTTATGAAACATTGAAGAAACTGAAAAAGCCAGTTTCCTCTGCATTACACAAACCCCCTGGAGCCCCTTAACCTTTCCTTGTTGAAAGGGTCCCCGGTTTGCATAATATCCTTTAAAATACCCCCCATGACGAAACAAAACCCCCACGGGCCCCACTATGGAGGCAGCAAATTTTCACCCCAGGGGGCCAAGAAATGTGTCAGGGCTAAGAACAAAAACCGGGGTCGGGGTTGTGAGTGCTAAAGTGAG